GATGCATGCTTATTTGCGGATCTTTGTTAATTAAAATCTCAGTAACTATTGCGAATCTAGCAAAATGGTATAGGACTTTTTACCTCAGTTTTATTCCTTCTACCTGCCTACGAGAGATGTTAAACCAATTCTGGGACACCCTGTATATTTGATAGAAAAGGACGTTCTTTATTCCATCCACTGATATGTACATTGTCTCGAATAGAAGATATCATATAAAATAAGAATACCAATATTTATTTCTTCTTTTCTATTTCCTTCTATAGACTACATTTTTTAATGCTAATTTTACCAAAATGATTGTTGAATAAGTCTTAAATTCTTGATGCTACAAGTATATACGCGTTGCTTTGATGATACAAGTGATTTAAGCGCCAAATAAAAAAACGCTCCTTTTATATAATTTTATTTATTGGTAAAAATTTATCTATAAATCCTATACAATATTCTAGCGCAAGTGCTGTAAATAATATGATGATGTAATGTGGAAACTTCATAATGTAAATATAAAAAATCTCTGTTGCACCAAGATCGTTCGATTTGCATATTATTAGTCTGATTAAATTTTTATCGAATAATTTGGCGTTGCGAACATATGCGGCGCGGTAGCTAAAGGTGTGGAATAAACTTCAGCACGAAGTGAAGTTTATAATAAGGTAGATCTTTTTTTCTGATGGTATCTGTGAATATGTCGGTTGGCATAGTCGAGTGAACGGGCAGGAGAGATAGATCAGATCTTGTTTGCGAATAATCTCGAGCATATGTGCGTGTACGCACTTACGCACTCGTTAAGTATCAATACCGTATGCAATATAAATGTAGCTAATTTAATGTAAATCATTTCGTGATCAGGCGTCATTCTACTGCCTCTTTAACATTTGTGATTAAAATAAATGACTTTCGATTACGTGCCACGTGGTTGATTCTTTCTCGTTTCACAAGTGAGCGATGATAAACGAGCGTGTGTGTGTGAAAAAAGAAAACACTCATAAAATATATTCCTACTATCTATATTTCAAATATAAATAAACAATTTTCTCTTGATTCTATTAAAATATTTTACACAAATATAAATATTTATGAGTGAACACAACTTTTATCGATAACGAGCGAGATAAGTGAGATCAGAGATTTCGGTAAACTTATGAGAAATAAATATATGACACAGAAACGCGATTGAAATAGAAACCCGTTGATTATTTTGCCGTATTGTAGCACAGTGACCTAGAGACATTTCTTTCTGGATTATAATTACGCTTAATCAGTCAGAGGGAGCATAATTACTACCTCGAGCGTGCTTATCGTCTACAATGATATTAATCACAAAATAATACCTCAACGATTAACATTGCGTCACGTTTTTGGTATTATATGAACTCGAACGTTTCAATTACGCGAGTAATCATTCTTACGCTACAAGAAGAGTGCGACATTAATTTTAAATAAATCTTGAGTCCGCGAGAGTATATTGATAATGTTATTAATTTCATTAGAATGTGTGCAATAATATGTAAAAATGCGCAAAATACGAGAACGGCACGCGGCTCGAATTTCCTTACGTGTCGCGGACAAATCACTTCCCTCTTCGTAATACTGGTGTACCGATGTGCCCGCGGGAACGGCACTAGGCCAAAAGAGCGTGGCACGCTCTTACGGCGCGAAATTACATTGGGGGCTAATTGCACGGCGGCGGTAGCGCAAACACGTGTCATCAGTCGACCGCCACCACCATCACCAACATCACCACCACCACTATCACCATCGGCTGCGCCATCACCATGCGATGCCCATGGTGGATAGCTGCACGGCCGGTTGTGTACGGTGAATTACGTAATTGAGGTAAATGGCGGCTATCCAGAGTGCGGGGAACTGTGCTAAATAAAATGCCATTCAATTAGACGATGAGAGGACCGCGTCGGCGGTTCGCGATGTTGTTTCCGCCGCTTTGTCGGGACTTTCCTAAAGCAGATGATTTGTCGTCGCGCTCACACTTTTAAAAAAATATGCATCTTTTTAGTTTTTTAATTACTTTATTTATTTGTTTACATAAACATTGATTTATTTTTACACACAGAACAGTTTGTAATTTACGACATAATCAGAGAACTCAAAGATTTATTGCAATACGATATGTTTGTGTACTATTGTGTTGTAATATAATTTGAAGATTATTGTAAATATAAAAATTTTCCATATGCAGTGACATGTAGGTATGGATAGGAACAATAACCATCAAGAACTATTCTGTCTGGTTGTCTCCAATTCGTAATACACGTATCTCATATAAATGTCAAAATTAAGAAAATGTTTCTCGCACGAAGTGTGCGAAGCGCTCGTAACTCGAGTAGTTTTATTTACCACGGTGAAAAAAAAGGGGATAATATCAGCGCACGGTGTGGAAACGCATCGACAAATTGCGGCGCAAAGTGGCATTTTGATTTCTCGTTGCCCGTCGTTTCTCTCTGTCAAATCAAAAGGACGTAAAAATACTCGCAGATTATGGTGCTAA